TAATATAAAATTCGATCGAATAATTGGACAATATTTCGATAAAATATAATAGAATAAAATAGAATAGAATAGAATAAGAAATATATATGATAGATAGAAAAAAAAAAAAAAGAAAAGAATTGTAGTATGAAGTTAGAGTTATCGGCTTTGGCAATCACTATTAGGGTCCTGAAGGTCTGGACAAAGAAAATGTTTGATGTTGCGTGGTCCAACTAGACCTTCCTGACGACGAGCACAGTCACCTAACCAGATCCCAACAGCTGTCACTTGTTTCTCTGAAACTACCGGACCTATTCCGTCTATTCGAAAAATTCTTTTCAACCGACCCTTTTCAATCTCAGTTTCCATTCTTTTAATAAACTCTTCAACTGGATCGTACATAGAACGTGCTGCTTCTTTTGATGGTGTAGGAGTTGTTGGAATATGTTCGGGTTGTTCTCGTTTGGGACACGTGCAAACATCACTGAAAGCATCGACAAATTCGCCAGAGTCATTTTCCATAGTTTCCATTTGGTACCAAACCCTTTCCCCACTTTCCTCCATTTCTTCTTCTTCTTCTTCTTGTTCCATATTTTCTCCAAATTCATCCAAATTCAAATCCACCGATTGTTCCTCGCTAAAGTAACGATCCGGAACTTGTGAATAATCCAATTCTTCCTGTGTCATTTCTTTTTCCACTTTTTTATCTTCTCTTTCTTTTTCTTTTTCTTGGATTATCTAAGTTTGGAATTGCATTTATTGGTTTTTATTTTTTATTATTATTATTTGTTTTATACGTTGGATAACTGTTATACGTAACCTCGTAATAATCTTAGCAAGTAAATTTAACGTTATTCATGATTTTAAGTTTTTATTATTAATTAATATTAAAAAATATTTTTGCACGATAATCAAATAAATAAATTTATTTGACAAGTAATGAATATCAAGTAATAATTATAACATTTTTCAAATAACACTTATACGTAATATCAAGAAACATTATTGAAAATAAAAAAACAAAAATGTATAAATAAATTTAATGTCACCTTGGAATTCTACGATAAAAATTAATTCGATCGTATTGAGGACAACAATATATATTTTTTTTATTCGATTGACAAATATTTAAGAAAAATCAAAAAAGAAAACATCAATGATTATATTCTATAATATCAATGAAAATTATCCTAAGTTTTTGTTTTAATCGTTCCCCATTAAACTTGAATCCCTACGATTATCTTGTATACAATTTCAACAATGTTAAACGTAAAACGAACCCGTGGATTAATATATACCATCAAGAATTATCTTTAACGTTGTATTTTAACGAACGAGATCGTTAAATGTCACGTTAAATCGCGACTGTAAAACCTTGGGTATAATAGTTACTGCCTATATTATATTCTTCCTCGTAATCATCATTCTTGTCGTATTTTCTATAACTATACCTGTTACATATTATTATTATTATTATTCCTCTTTTTATTTCCTTCGATTTTTATTTACGATCATAGTTATATGAAACAAGAAACGATGAAAATTTATTCGCGACACTTTATTTCATGTTAAACGATCGTAATAATATTTTTCTCTCGCGTACGTTTAAAACAATTCTTTTTTTTTTTTTTCAATACTAAATCATAATTAACAATAAATTAAGTGTAGATTTTTTTAATACTCATTATATAAACACGACGAAAGAATAAATTTCATTTTAGAAGAATCATTTTTTGTTCAAACAAATAAAAACGAAAGTTTACTTTACTACAATCCAATTGAAAATTATTTAAATAATATAATTTGAACGAAGTTTAAAAAATATATATATAAAAATTAAAAAACGTTTTACTAACAAAATTATTATTTTACAAATCTATACAACATGTTACCTACAGAACAATCTCATTCAACCCTTCAACAAGGGTTCACATATTTTCTATCATAGAAGATAAACCATGTGTGACACTGTGATACGAGAAAAAGAAAAAAAAATAGATATATCGTAATAATAATAACAACGATTTTTCCAACAATCCAACAACCATAATCTTTTACGGGAATTCGTGGAAATAAATATAACCCTAACGTGACACTTTTCTTACCTACCTACCTACCTACCACCATAACACCCCACTTTCTATATTTTATTTTTATATATATATATATATATATTCTTTTTCTTTTTATATTCGATCGAACAATCACAAACCTCTGCTGCATTCTTCGAGTTTTCCTCAACAATCCACCCCTTCTCATTCTTCCTCTCCTTTTCCTCCACCTCCTCCTCCTCCTCCTCATCCACTTCTTCGTTTTTCTCGTTGACCAAACGATCGATCGTCTCGTCGAGTTTCCTACTGATTTTTATTTTAGAATCGTATAATACTTGTTCCATGTTTTTTTTCTCAACGTTCGAGTTACTTTCGATAACATCCATCTCTTCCAATTCTTCCACTTCGTTCTTTTCATCCCCTTTCACTTCATCCCCCTCTTTATCGTTTTCTTCATACACGCACAAACATTCTTCTTCCTGATAGTAAAAACACACATACATATATATATATATATACGTATGTATATTTATACGTATGTATATTATACGTATGTATATTAAGTACACGTATATATATATATGGTGGTATATATATAAAATAATAAATATATATATAATGTATATTATACGTATGTATATTAAGTACACGTATATATATATATGGTGGTATATATATAAAATAATAAATATATATTTTTTATACCGTATTGTTTCTTCTTTGTAACTAGTTCCTGAAGTATTATTGTATGCAATTTCTAAGTCTGTACGATCT